AATAATTGCTTTTCTCTCAAAGCTGCTGTTACCCTTGTGATTACTGTATCAGTGAATGGTACTACCCTCCATCCTGTTGCTCAATTACAACACCCAGGAGTCACTCCTGAATCCTGTCTGTTCCTTCTACCACATGCAATTTATTTCAAAGTCCTCACAGTATTTCCTCACAGATTTCTCCCTTTTGTTCCATTTCAGAGCTCCTGGCCTAGCAGAGCACGAGCATTCCTCATCTCTTCAGAACTTTCCTTACCTTCTACTCTAGGCCCCTGCAGTTCATTTGAAGATTGATAGATTATTGATCATGACATAACCATACTTAAAATCCCTCAAGTTAAAACTTGATTCCTCTGATACCTTCAAAAAAATCATGACCTTCATTTTCTGGTTTACTCTTTCCTTCTCTTACACGTAAGGATATAGCCATGTTCATCTTCATTCCCATACACGTTCTACATGAACTTTGGTTCAACCTCTGGGATTTCACATAATGGGGTGGATGATACTCCCACTAAGCTGCCTAACTTCCACTTAATTTCAATTTAGATATCACTTCCTCAGAGGGTATCTGAGATCTCCATCACCCTCCCAGATTAGATGGCCCTCTTGTACTCCTATCACAATTCACATACATATATATATACATATATATATTTTATAATTCATACATATTATATAACTGTGCTTTCTTCAAGAATACACTTATGAGGATATGAGCTATTTATATTTTGTTTATATTACCAAGTTTGGTACAATGCCTGGCACTCTATTTAATTATCTGGATATAGAAATTAAACTGAATCATCTTTATTTTCATCTATTCTTGTCTTTGTAATCTGGGAGCACTTATGAGCTTTGTCTTCTATTGATTCAAATTCCTGCTTTGCATCTCTGGTATTAAGTATGATGCATCTAATTTTGTTCCTCTTTTTCAGCTGCATGTCATTTTTATTTTTCCTCATTTCTGCCCATTCCATTTTCATGAATTACACAACTTTTTAGCTAAAAACTCAAGCACATTTTAATAACCTGCCATAGCAATAAATTTATTTTAGAGCAAAGTTAAGTATCAGAATTGTCAGGACACTGTTTTTGTTTGGTTTTGGGGTGTGTGTGTGTGTGTGTGCGTGTGTGCGGCACGCACACGTGAGTATGCTGTATTGTTATTCCTAAATCCTACAATTGTCTGGCTGTATCTCAATCCTTCATAAAAAAATTAAGGATGTAAAGCAATAGAAGAAGAGGTGAAAAGGCAGCATTCATAACAGAAAGGACAAACCTCTTTTGCTACTATCCATTGCAGATACAAGCAAACTTTTCTGATACCAAAAAAGTAGCAACAACATATCACATGCAAGATTTCTACCAGTGTGTCTTCTATTTGAAAGTGTGACCAAATTAAAATTGAATGGATATTGGGGAAAAAAAAAGTAGTGATCAAAACAAATACCACTTTTGGCATTCTCTAAGAAATAAATGATTCTTGGGTGGTAGAACTAAGGAAACACTACATTCCAATGTTCTAAAAAATATATACTCAGAATGCTGGCTGCTGCAGAGTAGAAAGGGAATGGTTATACATAATTCATTTAAAGTTTAGAATATAACCACTACCTGCCCTATTTTACTTTAATTGAATAGACAATGTTCTTAAGTTTTTCAGGCCTTCCTTTATTCTTCTAAGGGTAATGTATAGTGTGCGTGCACATGTGTATATGTGTGTTGGGTGTATGGAAGGTTTTTTCACTATGCATTCATACTGCTACTTTGGCCACAGTTTTTATGCACTAATTGTGTTACTGTTACTAAACGAGGCCAGGAATGCATTGCCCCAATTCTGCCCTTATTGATGGCAGCAAATAATTACGTTGTCTGTTAGTAATGAAGAAGGAACAGTAGGACCAGGGAGAGGTGATCTTTAAGTACTACATTAAAGCTACAGGACATTAGCATAAATTTTTCAATATTGATAATGCATACATAAAAGCAAATATAGGTATATCTCACAGTTAAGGAGTAAGTCTTTAGTAGGTTCCAAAAAATACAAGTTTTCCTATGTAGGAGAATTAACCACTATGCATAATTTAAAGTTACTACATCAAACACATGGCTCTTTTGTAAAACATCATAGGAACTGAAAGAGTTATTTTCAAATAAACACAAAATAAACCAATTAATTCTGAATAAGTAGTAACAACTTTATTTTAACTCAACGTGCTGAAATGCAAAAAATATTTTCAGCAACAAGATACAGAAAGTATGTATCTCATCATTAACATCAGCTGATTAAAAATGAGGCTGAAAAGTTCATATAAGTCTTTACACATCTGAATCTTGAAAATCAATTTCCCCCAGAATTAATTTTTAAATAATTTTAGCAGAATTTTATTTTCAAAAATGGGACTCACTTAAGTTATATCTTCATTCTAAAAAACTGGATGTGAAATTAACTGGGTTACAGTATACAACGATAAACTCTAACAAACAGAAAAAGATTTAAATATAAGAATTCCTTTTTAAACATAAAGTCCACATACTGCAAACAGAAGACACGGTGTGGTGATTTCATTCCTTGTGAAGAGGAGTTTTGCATATGATAGGCACTCAATATTTGTTCAACTAGACCTAAAATTGACATCATCCCATGAACACTTAAAGTAGAGCTCATAATTTGTATAAAAGAGGTTTAAAAAAAAAATACTCTTATGTGCTGAAAGTGCTGTTTTTATAATCTGAAAACAGTAAAGCCCACTCATCCACCTCCTTTTGCAAGAATACACTGAATATTTTTATTTTATCCATCAAAGAGCAAGAATGTCCACGTCAGAATAATTCATCTTTCAAATACCTTGCTAGGAAGAAAGCTTGTTGAGTTGGATTTTAACAAAACAATTTACTGAAGTCTCTAGTGTTCTAATTTAGTAACACTGGGCAGCATGTATGAGCCACATTTTTATAAAAACTTTTACTTAGGTTTTACATTTATGCACAAAACTTAAGTGGGTAAATAAATCAGTAATTATGCTTTTGGCAATTTAAATTCTAACTTAGGTCTAGTTTAAAAATAAGCTAATAATGTTCATGACAAGTTTTTAAGATATCTTTGTGAATATTTTAAAACTTAACTTTAAACTTGATGTCCTAAAAAGGCACTGTTTTCACATTTCATCATGCAGTAAATGGTCACATTTTTGAAAATTATAATTTCCTATCAACTGCCCCCAAAATAAAGCTCATTTAATGAAATATTTCAACTAACCTGAATTTTCAACATTTAACTGAGTCCTATTTTCAGAAATTCACTCTTCTGAACATACCACACGCAAGTCCAAGCAGACACAAGTACGTGTACACACACACACACACACACACACACCCAGATGACATAATACATGCATGGTTTTCCAATTACTATTTCAAGACAATGACACATGAATATTCAAGGAGGTAACAACGGCAAGCCATAACATTATGGCACCTTCATATTTGTGCTCTAAATACCAATGTATGTTAAAATTTAAAAACGAAAAAGGCACAAATACAGTATTTCTGTATCTCAAGCTAATGAACAGCTCTCCAATGGTTACTTTGATAACATGTAACAACATTTAAAACCAGTCACTACTTTTCTAAGGAAAAGCTCTGTTTAGGTGACAAAAGGGGAACAAGAGCAGGCTAATAAAAGGCAAAATTGTTCAGGACAGACAGATTCTGTCCCTACTGAAAACAATGTGTGTACTTTCAAAATGAAAAAATAAAAAGGCTATTAGAGCACTCACATCAGAATACATTTTTTTTTCATTGCCTCAAGAACCCACAATACCAAAAAAAAATCTCCCATAATAAATAAAAAAAATAAGTCAACTATGATATGATTCTGTTAGTATAATGGTAGGCATTATATAATCTGAAAAGTGGACATTTCTACAAACGTGTATCTCCTCACAGCACAGTGTTTGACGTTTTTGGTACAAAATGTGCTACCAAACTTAGAACAAAACCAAAAAACAACTTTATAATAAAAACCTTAAGATCTGCAATAAACACTAAAGTAAGTAGGTAGGAGCAAGCTGCAGTGTTCATTATATGGGTGTTATTACTGAAGTCACTATCGTTAGAAATGTAGATATAAGCATTGAATTAATTCACAATGAGTCTGTGCGTATTTGATATAAATGGACCCAACAGTACTTTTTTTTTTTTTGAAAACAAGGTTCTACAGCCTGAGGCATTTTGTTTTAAGACCTTGAAAAAATATTAAAATCTTAACGTGTATATGTATGTGTGTGTATAAAATTTGTACATTTGTAAATTTAATGGATTCAATCTGTTTAAGGAAGCGAGGTTCTACTCCCTTCAGTATTCTTATACAGGATGGAGTCCAATAACATGTAAGAATCCTTCTATCCCAAGGGATTTTTCCAATTTCAAATATAAGTTAACATAAGAAAGATTCCCATTAAACTACACAGAAAGAAATGAAGCTATCTGAAAATATGATCTTCTCAAACTACAGTTTGTTGTGGATTAACAAATGCTTATTTAACAGTGCTTGCTTAATGTAAGTATGAATCACTCTTTATATATTAAAATTGCTTCAGTGACTACCTAACAAAGAGATAACAAAAACGAAATCTATTTTAAAACCTCAGGCTTCATTTTTCTCCTTTTGTCCTAAATTCAAAAGTTAAACAAACATATCATACAAATTTTAATCTGGGGAATAAAGTATGTACGTAAATATATAGGTATATGTGTTTGTTTGTTTGTTTGTTTTTTCCAGTGACACTTTTTCCCTTGTGGTCAAGTATAAATCTTGCCTAAGAAGCATACTGTCACTATCACAGAAAATCAGATGCAGTGACTTGCCACTGATCACTCCTACTTCTCTGGGATAATGTACCAGAACAGACTCCACTGTGAACAGAGCTATCCAAACACTGAACATGTGTATGTGTTTAAAGCTAAATTCATTTATAATAAAGAACTGGCCCATGAAAAGCAGTTTATAAATAGTTTATCCTGTTCACATTATGCAGAATTTCAATATCATCCACAATGTTATTACAGTAACTGAAACAGAAAGGAGAAAGCTAGGGGGGAAAAAAGGTTCAGAGTGTGGCCTGACATTTCTAAGGGCTCTCTCCTTTAGTCTGCAAATAATGTAAGTTCACTGTTTTCAGGAGGAGAGTAGAGTATCCAGGATTTGTTTATTCAGTTGCCTTCTCCAAAGTGTGATAAGACAGGAATAAATTCAATAATAAATATCTGAAATTTAAACCAATTTAACTATAATCAAGGCTATCATTCTTATCTATTATCATAAACATCCCAATTGCCTCCATTGGTCTTAAAAAATTCTTTCAAAAGTTAAGACACAATTAATTAAACCTTATTAATACCCTCAAAAACAAAAAAAATATATGTACCATTTAGCATACAAAAGTTACACATTAAAAGTGCATTATATCTTTCTTAATTGGCCCACTCCTTAAATTTACATTTGGTCATCCTTACTTTCAACATGGACAGAATTCTTCATATAAATGTATGTCACTATAAATTAAAAAAATTAATTCAGCATAAAACATGCTTTCTTTTTATTGAAATCTTAACCTCAATCAGTTCTCAATCATTGTAAACTTGAATAAATCCACAAAAAAACACAAGCAAAAGTTTGTTATGCTTTTCTTAGTTTGTTGGACAGTCAACACACAGACAAACATCACAAATTTTACTAAAAATTTGGGCCAACTCATTGCATATTTGCCCCCTGAAATGAAAAATAAATTAGAATTGAAGCAGTGTATTGCCGTAACTTACCTTGAAGGTAAGCAGGTTCTCCTATATGTATAGAACTTAGACTGGAGACATTATCCGTAATCTCCAATTCAAGTGCTTTTAAGAAGAACCTAGTTTTAAACTTTGAGACAGCACAGGACAAACCCTATAAAATTCATTTTGCTTTGCTTTTTTCTCAAACTAATGGAAGATCCTTTTGAAACTTAATATCTTCAGTTATCAATATTACTGCATTATGGACCTAGTGCAATCCTGCATAGCCTTAGTCAAAATGACAAGGCACAATAAAAAAATTAAAGTATTATATGAACAAGAGAAGTCACTGAAGATAATTTAAGGCCTTGAAGTGAATTAGAGTATAATCAGTCTAATTTAAAGCTGAAGAATAAACCATAAATTATCCACCTGAAATGCAAGCAATATGCTTTTTCAGCTTCTGTTCTGTGGACAAGACAACAGAAACAACTCTTGCTTATGGTTTGTATATTAGAATCCTTCTGGACCTGGAGGAGTAAAAGTCAATTCCATTTTTCTACAGTTCATGGAAGATTTCAGGACTGTTTTAGCCGTTTGCGTGGAATGCCAAACTGTGGACACTGTGCAGATGCTAGTGCTCGGAAGGCTTCTGCTACTAAATGAGGGTGAGACTGAATCATGGACTTCCACCCCGATGTTTCCATTATGTCCGCTGCTTGGCTGAAAAATAAAGTTATGTTATGTTTATTAAAGAGTACTTTTCAAAACACATTATTATTTTTAAAACTTACAAATTTCAAAATGTTTTAAACACTTCATTTCTCTATGTCATCAGGCCCCATGCATTCATGAAAATACCATCTTCACCTTACTGGTATTTTATGTTGCAACAGAAACTCTTAAATTCTTCTGGAAGTTCTATACTCTGGAACTATGTTGCACTTTTCTCCATAGTCCTAACTCCCATTGTTACCATTTGTGTATCAGCTCTTTCAACAGCTCTTTTCCCTGGCTGTTACACACAGGTTTTCTCTAGAGCTCCAACTTTTGCCCTCTGCTCTTCTCCCTCTACTTCAATACTATCAACTCCTACTAATACTTAAGGTGTTTTTTCAATAATTCCTCAAAAAGGCTTTCTTCCCCTAGCTTAGGTAAGGTTCTTTTGCTATATGCTTGGATGGGTATGTTATATAGTATCTATTGTTACACTTTATTTCAATTACTTGCCTGATTCCAATTTGCCTCCTGCTAAGCTATAAACCCCATGAAGGCAGGGGAACATTCATCATCATGTTCACCACGATATTCTTTGTATAAGCACAGTGCCTAGGGTATTTACTGGATAGTAAATATAAATACCTGTTAACAGTAAATACCTGTTAAATGAATGATCACCTACTGCTTCATGCTTCTATACTTTGGATGGAGCTATCCTTTCTGTTCACAATGCCTGTTATTTCCTTCTTAGTTTTACTAATTCCTATTCATGTTTAAAGGCTCAGAAGTCATCTCCAGAAAGCCATCCCTAAACCATCCAACCTTTATCCAGTGCTCTGTATATATCTTCATCACATTACTTACCACATTATAATAACATATTCATGTACTTAGTTTTTATCAATAGATAAATTTCTCAAGAAAGGATTTTTCCTACTCATTTTTATATGAAACTCCTTAGCATGGTGCTTGAGACACAAGAGTACTAGGTAAATGTTTGTGGAACTAAACAGTAGCTAATAACAATAAAACAACTTTTTAAATTTGCCTGACATTATATTACCTCTATGTCATTGTGTTTATAATTTTAACTAATTGTTCAGAATCACAAAGATACCTATCAATAGACCTGGCATTTTCATTTATTTAATTCAACAAATATCTATTGAAGATCTGCATCTACAACAGCTTCTCCAGGGGATGTGAAATAAACTGGCATTTGTTGACAGTGGAAAAAAGTTGTTCAATGTAATATTTTCTTAACAGAATACAATTAGAACTTGAAAGTGGCTAAGTACAAAGGATCACAAAATTATCATTTACAGCTAATACATTATATTTTTGATTCAAATGTATTTTTTAGGATCAAATGCCATGATGATAATGTATTATCACACACCAATCAATATACAGAACAGCCAATAACTTAAAAGTGGTCATAGATGAAAACAATGGGAAGTAATTAAATGGTCAACACTCATTTTATCGTTTCTAACACTGTCTTTTTTCACTTATATCAACTTTTGATAATATGTGAAAATGGAACTGAAGGGTTTACAAGTAAAAACTAATCAAAAGCAGGTACAAATTCTTTACACTATCAACTCTTCTTTGATTTTTTGAAAAATTATAAAACGTAGACAAATCATTCTAAAAATGAGAGAAGAAAACATAAGAAGGGAATAGTAAGTTCTAGTAGTTCATACTCAGAAGGCCCAGGCTTAGAAACATGTAACAACTATCACACCTCTTACAGTTTTACCAGAGAAAGGAAAGACCAAATTGAACCAGCAGCTAGTCTAAAATACTGTATGATTCAAGTTACTTGGCTAACCTAAGAAGCAGTAGATGAGCATTCAAATGTAAAGACTTTCTAAGCAAATCTGGAGGAACACGCCTTAGAAGATAAAATGAGTATTTCCCACATTTTTAGAAATGCTTTCTGAAGGGGCAGGGAAAAGATCTCCAATAGCCATTGAAATACCTGGACTCAGTTATATACTATAAGCATATGTGCATAAGAAATTAAAATGTCGATCCCAGTTCACATTAGAAGCTGATCTACAAGGAAGCATAGCCTCAAGAATCCACTAAGTCAAATTATTAATTTTTAAAATAACTGGCAGTTTACTTCATGTAACTAATATCTGGATTCATACTTAATGCAGATGAGCAAAAGGCTATGCAAACACTTAATTTCATGTATGCAGATCAACTTTAAGTCAGAAACTGATGTCATCTTACTTGCTGTTCCAGTTTTTCCCATCTTTACACCCAAGCTGTCGAAGTACACTGCACCTGCATTGAAGATTTAAACACACTTAAAAAAAAATCCGGTGAAAAAATGTTGAAGGTGTCACGCCCACTGAAATACAGGCATAGCTTACCTATTAATAAAGTCTATGGCTTGTGCTTTCAACTGTTCTGCACTGTGCAAATCTGCAAGGACAAGGGTATCAGCAACATTTTCTACTGAGAGGTTACTACACAAAGCTTCTTCACACATGACCTTCAGCCGTTCCAGTGCGTACTATCCAAAAGGAAAACATAACAATTAAACATTTACTCAAACTACCAAGTTTTAAACACTTGGTATTTGTAATTTAGAAAACACTTGGTATCTGTAAACTAGAAAATAAAGCACATTATATTCTGAACTGAGAATTAAGAAAAAGTCTTTTATTTTTAAAAAGATTATTTATTTATTTTTGAGACAGAGAGAGAAAGTGCGTGCACGCGTGAGCGAGCATGAGTGGGGGGTGGGGACAGAGGGAGAAGCAGACTCCCCACCGAGCAGAGAGGCTGATATGGGACTGGATCCTAGGGGACTGTGGGATAATGACCTGAGCCTAAGGCCAACGCTTAACGGACTGAGCCACGCAGGTGCCCCTATGACTGAGAATAAAAAAAAAACAAACCTCAAAGTTATTTTAACCTAATATTAAGAAGATGTTCTTGAATGAATATTAAGAAGATTAATATTAAGAAGATTCTCTTGAATGAATTCAAGAGAAAGACTAATTTTCTTTAGGAAATTTCAATTTATGCAAAATACATACTGTCAATTTTTAAAACAGTTTTATTCCTTTAAAAAAAAATCTTTCTTGCTCAATACTCTTAATGAGTGAATTTCTCTCCTCCATTTTAAACGCCGAAGTGTACCAGGAGGTACCTGTATGTTGCCACTGTTCAATCTTGAAGAATGAATTATAAAGCTGAAAAAATAATTTTGATAACTTCTTTAGTTATTATGACAACTTTAGCAGCTTTATTGAAGTATAAGTGATATATGGCAAACTGCACATATTTAAAGTTTATGCTTTGGTAAGTTTATAACTTATAACTGTTATTAAAACATGACACTGAACATATTTATCATCCCTAAAAGTTTCTTCCTACCTTGGTAATCCTCCCCTTTCACTCCACCACAGGCTAAACCTCTGATGTGCTCTCTACTGCTGTAGTTTGCATTTTCTGGTGTCTTCTACAAATGGAATCATAAAATATGTACTCATTTTTGACTGGCTTCTTCTACTCAGAATATTTATTCTGAGATTCATGCATGTCTGCTATTTTATCAAGAGTTCAATGTTTTTTATTGCTAAAATAAAAATTCCATTGCATAGAGACATACCGTATTTGTTTCTGCATTCCTCTGTTGATAAACATTTGGGTGTTTCCAGTTTTTAGCTATTACAAATAAAGCTTCTATAAATATTCACATATAAGTCACTGTATGGGAATATGCTTTTTTTTTTCCCTCTTAGATAAAATAGTAGACTCACTAGATCACATGGTGTGAAACTTTTAAGAAGTCATCAATCTTTCAAAGTGGTTGTAACATGTTACATTTCCATCAGCAGTATATGAGTCCTAACTTACACATCCTTGACCATACTTAATGTCGTCTTTGTAATCTCAGCTATTACATGTGTAGAAATAACTCATATGGTTTTAATTTACCTTCCCCTAATAACTAATTATGTTGAGTATCTTTTGATATAGTTAACTGACATTAACTGAGAAAATATCTGTTCAAATATTTTCTCTATTTTTAGAAATAACATTGTTGGGCACCTGGGTGGCTCAGTCAGTTAAGCATCAGGCTTCAGCTCAGGTCATGATCCTAGGATCCTGGGATTGAGTCCTGAATCAGGCTCCCTGCTCAGAGGGGAGTCTGCTTCTCCCTCTAACCACTCCCCCCCTCCCCTGGCTCGTGCTCGCTCTCAAATAAAATCTTTAAAAAAAAAAAAAGAAAAAAAAAAGAAAGGAAATACATATTTCCTTTAAAAAAATATTGTTTTCTTATAATTGAATTTTGGCAATTCTTTATATAGTTTGAATGCAAAAGTCCTTTAGCCAGGGTGCCTGGGTGGCTCAGTTAGTTAGGCAGCCAACTCTTGTCTTGATTTTGGCTCACATCCTGATGTTAGGGTTATGGGATCAAGCTCCACATCAGGCCCCACACTCAGCAAGGAGTCTGCTTGAGATCCTCTCTCTCTTCCTCTGCCCCTCTCTCTGCTTATGTGCTCTTTCTCTCTCTAAAATAAATAAATAAATCTTAAAAAAAAAAGCCTTTTAGCAGCTATATTCTGAATAAAAGCTGCTAACCGTATAGATGCTTTGCAAAGTATTTTCTCCCAGTTTGTGTCTAGTCTTTTCATTATGTGTTTTCTGAAGTTTTAAAACTTTACTTAAGCCTAATTTATCAATTTTTCTTTTATGTATTGTTTTTTGGTGTGATAGCTCAAAAGTCTTTGCCTAACACAAGACTAGGAAGACTTTATTCTATGTTTTCTCTTCAAAGTTTTAAGTTTTAGATTTATAATCCATTTTGCATTACTTTTTGTATTTGGCTTGAAGTTCATATAAGAAGTTCATATTTTTTTTTCTTTCAGGCATATAGGTATCCAATTGTTCTAGTATCACTTGTTGAAAATACTATCCCTTCTTCACTGAATTGTCTTTTCATCTTTATCAAAAATTAGGTATCGGGGCTGCCTGGGTGGCTCAGTGGATTAAGCCTCTGCCTTCAGCTCAGGTCATGATCTCAGGGTCCTGGGATCGAGTCCCACATCGGGCTCTCTGCTAGGCAGGGAGCCTGCTTCCTCCTCTCTCTCTCCCTCTCTACTTGTCAAATAAATAAAATCTTAAAAAAAATTAGGTATCAATATTATAACAGTCTACTTCTGTACTTTCCATTCTGTTCCAATAAGTTGTCTATCTTGTAACCAATACACTTCTTAAATCCTGAAGCTTTATTTATTTATTTTTAATATTTTATTTATTTATTTGAGAGAGAGGAAGAGGGAGAGAGCATAAGCAGGCGGAGCAGCAGGAGAGAGAGAAGCAGGCGGAGCAGCAGGAGAGAGAGAAGCAGGCGCCCTACTGAGCAGGGAACCTGATGCCAGAGCTTGATCCCAGGACCCCAGGATCATGACCTGAGCCAAAGGCAGATGCTTAACCGACTGAGACACCCAGGTGCCTCTTAAATCCTGAAGCTTTATAGGAAGACTTGTTATTGTGCAGTTTTAGCCTTTCACTTTGATCTCCTTTTTCAAAGTTATCTGACTGTTCTAGGCTCTTGCACTTGCACATAAATTTTATATCCACTTGTCAAAAAACAAAACAAAACAAAAAAACCTGCTAAGGACATGTTGGTTCTACTAGTGAATTTTAAGAACTGAAATTTTAATATTGAGACTACTAATCCATGAACAAAAAAAATTTTTTTTTAAATTTTTTTTTATTTATTTGACAGACACAGCAAGAGAGGGAGCACAAGCAGGGGGAGTGGGACAGGGAGAAGGAGGCTTCCCGCTGAGCAGGGACCCCCCCAATATGGGGCTTGATCCCAGGACCCTGGGATTATGATCTGAGCCAAAGGCAGTCGCTTAATGACTGAGCCACCCAGGCGCCCCCAAAATTTCTGTTTTTATTTATTCAGGTAGTCCCTGAATTTCACTTATCAATATCTTATAATTATCAGTTCAGTCTTTTGATATCTTTTGCCAGATATATGCCTATATATTTAATATTTTTGATGCCACTGCAAATGTCATTTTTAATTTAAATTTTTATTGAGATAGCTATGGTTCATGTGTAGTTTTAAGAAATTAATAGATTCCAGCTTGAGAGAAATATGGCAACAGAGTAGAAGGACTCTAGGTTCCTCTTGTCCCACAAACACAACTAGGTAACTATCAGATTATCCTAAATACCCCCAGGAATAGACTAGAAGACTGAAAGAACAAACTCCACAGGTAAAGGGAGAGAAGAGGCCACACTGATAAAGGTAGGAAGTGTGGAGACCTGGCTTCACACTGATAAAGGTAGGAAGTGTGGAGACCTGGCTTAGTGGAGAATGGATTGTGGGTGCTGTAAAGGGGAGGCAGTTGCAGACATGGAGAAGGATGAGGGAGAGAGGAGCACACAGAGGAATTCAAAAGGGAATGTTTCTCCAAAAATGATGGGTTGTAAAATAGAGGACCTGAATTTCATGACTTCTTGCAATAAGTGGGGCTAGAGTTCTGTGGGCTTGGTTAGGATAGAGTTTGGAGGGTAATGCCCTGCTCCTGGACAGAAGGCAGACAAAAAACCCAGGGGTAGGTTGTGTAGAAACAGCTATCTGAAGAATGTCTGGGACACATCAGGGTCACATTATTTGCTCTTCTCTGAGGACATCCCTGAGAGGCAGCATTCACAGCGACACTTCTCCTAGAACAAAGGAGCTAGTCAGTGCCAGTTAACTCCCCCACCCCTCAGCATAAATACAGACCCAGCACTGCATCCACATTGGCTGCCTTACTTGCTAACACCAAGCCCCACTCCCTTGCACTCCAGTAGGACCACCCTTCTCAGTCAAGCTTCTGTCAGTCCCAGCATAGCAGGCCCTTCCCCCGGAAAATCAGCACAAACCCTGCCCATAGTTCTGAGGGCCTCAATTCCAGATGAAGCAGTGTCAGGTCACATTTCACAAACAGTCCAGAGCATAGCTAGTTAAAATTTGCCACATCTACATTAGGGATGAAACATGGCCTCCAGCAAAGAAGGAGAGTCTTGTGGACAACTGGCTTAAAGGACAGAGTAACCAGAATACAACAGTGGACCACATGCAGAACACACTCGAGACGTGCCCTGGAAGTGCCAGGCCCTGGGCACTACATAACTTCTTCTTCATTAGGCCATTACTTTCAGGAACAGGAGACATAACTGGCTTTTCTAACACAGAGAAGCAGGAGACAAAATGAGAAGACAGAGAAAATTACCCAAAGTGAAGGAACAAGATAAGGTCATGGCCAGAGATCAAAGTTAAACAGATATAAGTAACATGCCTGATGGAGAATTTAAAACAATGATCATAAGGATACTCACTGGACTTGAGAAGACTGGAAGATCAGTGAGACCCCTAGCACAGAGATAAAGGAATTAAAAAAGAATCAATCAGAGATGAAGAATACAATAAACAGGATCAGAAACAGGCTTGATGCAATGGACAGAAGGCTGAAAGAAGCAGAGGAACAGATTAGT